CCTTCGCAAGTCAGACCTTTTACAACGCTCCCTCGACAAGGATATAACTGTGAGGGAAGTGCGCTCCTCTCGAGTGGCTCCTACGGCCAACAACTGCACAATAGGGCCTTTGGCAATATGTGTCTGACTTGACGATATAAACCGAAATTGAAATAGCAACTCGCTATGGCTTATACAGCTGAAGAAAAAGCTGCAATGGCAGCTCGAAATGATCCAGAACAAGACCAGGAATCCCTGGCAGAAGGAGCATCAATTCCAAGCTCTGCAAACCAAACCAATGAACTTCATGATCCTAATTTCAAATCCGAAACCTTCCTTCACACTCTGGGCAAAACAGCTCAAGAGAGACATGAATCTATACTTGCAAATCGACATGAAAAGGCTGAATGGAATGTTGAAACCTTTGACGAATTCCAGAAACTATCTGTCGCCAACCAGAAAATGGCATGGACTTTGCACAAGAACATTCTTCAGGACTATTTGGCCCTAGCAGAGGACTCAAATTTGATACTGGCTGAAAAGGATGATGCCATTCTCCAGTTACAGGAACTGATCCAGAGCAACGAGCAACAAATCACAGAGCAACAAACAATTCACAGAGCAACAAACAATTCAGAAATATCTTGAAAAGCAAACCCAACAAGCTCTGAAGAATGAACCAGGACACCAAGCTCACAGTCGACTGTCAGCTCGGATTCCAGACCCTCCAATCCTCACAGATGGGATAGAGCCAGCATTTGAAGACTGGGTTGTGAAAATTCGCCCCAAGCTCGAAGCCAACATTGATCATTTTCCAACACAGACTTTACAAATGAGCTACATTCAGAGTCGACTGGGAGGACTGGCAGTTCGACATGTCAATCCAAGGCTTCGACCAAACTCTACAAACAAATTGCAGACAGCAGAAGAAATTCTCGAACTTTTGGAAAAAGTCTTCAGTGATCCCGATCGAAGGCACACAGCTCAAACTGAGTATCGAAAGCTGTATCAGAGAAACAACACCTTTGCAGTGTTCTGGGCTGAGTTCCAAAGGCTCACAACAGAGCTTGATTACTCTGAAGGAACTTTGCTGGATGACTTGCGCTTCAAAGTCAACCAACAGATGCAGAAAGCCTTAGTGGCTGAAGTTGGAGCTACTACACTTCACGAGTTTGCAAAGAAATGCATGCTCATCGACCAGAACATTCAGCGGATCAAGGAACAAGAAGACAAAAGGAAGCCAAAGTCATTTTCGAACAACATGGGCCAAACTCAAAATCAGGGCCAGGCACTTCGAACTTCAATCCCTCAACCTACAATGGATTCGAACATGCAAAACAAGACGCAGAAGCTGTATCGACCACCGCATCAAGATCCAGCAAAAGAAATGCTCATGAAACTTGGGAAATGCTTCATATGCTGACAAAATGGACATCGAGCTCGAGACTGTCCCCAGAAGCTCAAAGCTCAAGTGAATGAGGTATCTACAGCTGAGTCTATCATCGATTCGGAAAACGAATAGCCTCTAGACAAGTCATCACTAGAGGCAGTGCAGCCAGAATTGCAGCTTCTTCCTCAAGATCCAGTTTTGATCCGGACACCCCTTTCTTAGCTACTTGTAGAATAGGAAAATACAAAGCTATTGTCCATGCATTGATCGATACTGGTGCCACAGGTGGAAACTTCATTAATGCTGCTGATGCAGAAAGAATATGTGAAATCAAAGGGATAGCCCCAGTCGAACTTGTGAAGCCAAAACAAGTTGAAGGATTCAATGGAGAGGCTGCCCCTGCTATCACACATGCTATATATCCTCGACTACAAGTGGGAGAGCATGTGGAAAGCCTATGTCCATTATTTATTACTTCGCTGGGAAAACATTCCATCATTCTCGGGAAAGCTTGGATGAAGCAACATGAAGTTGTTCTCGATATGATCAATGATCAAGTCCTCTTCACTGGAGATTATTGCAACCATTCTATACCAGATCGAGCCCTCGAAACAGAGCCTATATCTAATAGCGAAAGACAAAGGCCAAAGAAGAAAGCCAAAGAAATGCCTCCTCCGGAACCTGCTCCGAAAGTGGAAAAACCAAAACCTTGCACCATAGCAATGATTGGCGCAGCACCATTTCGAATGCTCATGAAGCAAAGAGGAGCTCAAGTCTTTGCTATATCAATGAAGGACATAATCGAGCACAAGAACAAGACCAAAACTGAAGAAATTGACTCTCGACTGATCCTTCCGAAGGAATTTCATGAATTTTTGGATGTTTTTTCAAAAATGGCAGCAGACAAGCTACCTCCCCATCGACCTTCAGACCATCATATTGAACTCGAAGGTGATGCAAAGCTGGGATATGCACCACTCTGGAATATGTCAAAGGAAGAACTTGATTTGGTCGAAGAATATGTCTTCGAGCACTTGCCAAAAGGGTTCATTGAAGCAAGCAAAGCCCCATACTCTTCACCCATTATGTTTGTGAGAAAGCCAGGTGGTGGTCTTCGATTCTGTGTTGACTACAGGAAGCTAAATGCCATAACGAAAAAGGATCGATATCCCATACCACTCATTGATGAAACGCTGGCCCAAGTCATAGGAGCAAAATATCTCACCAAACTGGACATTCAACATGCCTTCAATCGAATTCGAATGCAGACAGAAGAAGATGAAGACCTCACTACATTCAGAACTGATTTGGATCCTACAAATACAAGGTCATGCCCTTCGGACTCACAAATGGTCCAGCAATATTCCAGAGGTACATGAATGAAACCCTCATGGATTACCTCAACCAATTCGTCACCGCATACATGGATGACATTCTTATCTACAGTGCTACTCGAGCGGAGCATACAGAGCACATAAGGAAAGTCCTACAGAAGCTTCGAGAAGCTGGACTGCAAGTAGATATCTCAAAATGTGAGTTTTTCGTCCAAGAAACCAAATTCCTAGGACTCATCGTGGGAGTCAATGGCATTCGCATGGACCCTGCAAAGGTTTCTACTATATTGGAATGGCGAACTCCAAAATCGCTCAGGGATATGCAAGCTTTCATTGGATTCTGCAATTTCTATCGAAGGTTCATCCGAAATTACTCCAGCATCATGAGGCCATTGGTGAACCTTACCAGAAAGGATCAGATATTCGAATGGACTCATGCATGCCAAACTGCATCGAGCTGTTGAACAAACAGTCACAGAAGCTCCTGTCTTGAGGCATTTCGATAGAAACAAGACAGCCTATGTCGAAGCAGATTCCTCAGACTTCATCTCATCAGGAGTCTTGTCACAAAAAGATGATCAAGGGGTTCTACATCCAGTGGCATACTTCTCGAAAAAGCTAGCACCTGCAGAATGCAATTACGAGATATATGACAAGGAATTGCTTGCAATCATCAGATGTTTCGAAACATGGAGACCAGAACTTGAAGGGACAGATTTTCCAGTCCAAGTCTTGTCTGATCACAAAAGCTTGGAATACTTCATGTCCACCGAGAAGCTGACAAGAAGACAAGCTCGATGGGCTGAATTCCTCTCTCGATACAACTTCCAGATCATCTATAGGCCTGGGAAGCAAAATGGAAAAGCAGATGCTTTGACTTGAAGGCCTGGTGACAGACCAGAAGGCAATGATGACGATGATCGACAAAAGCAACAGCTTCAGGTGTTGCTACCACCTTCGAGGCTACATCCAGACATTCAGAAACTCAAAGAACAAGGCCAAACAGCTCAGCTAGCTCCAGTGGAAACTCATATCAGAGATATGACAATTCTTGAGAAAATCCAAAAGTCTCAACTGGAAGACAAATTCTGCAAGGCTACACTACAGAAGCTTGAGAATGGTGATCGAACAAGCAAAGAGGTTGCATTGGCTTATTGCGAACTCAAAAACGGCATGCTAGAATATCAAAATCGAGTTTGGGTGCCAGAAACCATTCAGGTGGACTTGTTGAGAGAAGTTCATGAACAACCTTCTATGGGACATCCAGGAGCTGGAAAGATGCTGCGAGTCATGAAACAGCACTATTACTGGCCAAACATGGACAAAACAATAATTCGATATATCAAAAACTGCCATAGTTGTCGAAGATCGAAACCATCTCGAGATTCCTACAATGGACTTCTACAACCAATCCCTATTGACAGTCGACCATGGATGGATATATCAATGGATATCGTGACAGGATTACCACTCTGTGAAGGGAACAATGCTATCTTGGTTGTTGCATGCAGGTTGACGAAAGAAAGACATTTCATTCCGTGTTTCGCTGGGCAAGAAGGGACTACTGCAGAAGCTACAGCACAGCTCTTACTTCGACATGTATGGAAGCACCATGGTCTACCAAACTTGATAATATCAGACAGAGGTCCTCAGTTCATTGCAGAAGTCTGGAGTTTGCTCTGCAAAATTTGGAAAATTTCGGCCAAACTTTCAACTGCCTTCCACTCAGAAACAGATGGACAGACTGAGCAATTCAATGCAGAGCTTGAACGCTTCTTGCGAGCTCATGTGAACTATCTTCAAGACAATTGGGTTTCAAACTTGTGCATGGCGGAGTTTGCTGCCAACAGTTTGCCATCAGATGCAACCAAGACAAGTGCGTTTTTTGCGAACAAGGGCTATGAACCAAGAATAAGCTTCGATACAGAGCAGCAAGCATATCAGAGGACGTCCGTGACATTGCAACTAAAACTGCCCATGAATAAACATAGCTGCCTGTAGATCAACACCTACATGCTTAAACGACTGGCCTTGAGACTTATTAATAGTCATAGCAAAGCATAAGCGGACAGGAAATTGTTTACAGGAAAACTCTACACGCTAAGCCTATAGAAGTAGGAAGTGGGGCTAGAACCTAATGTAGCTAATCCTGAATTTGGACAAATGATAGCCAATCAATCGGTCTTGGCCTTTTATAATGTAGTATAGTATAGACAATACAGTAAAGCACCGTTATAATGATGTATTTGCTGCCAGCAGAATATATCGTTATAATGATAATATCGCTATATTGATTCTTATGTAATCCAACTATCTAACGTACTCTGCACCCGTGACTCTTGATCTAATGCCTCAAGAGCGAATTCTAAATGCTCGAGGCCTCGTAAATAGTCTGATTGAAGAGCCTCTTGTTCTTCAGTAAACTCAATCAGAACCTGGAGTGCTTGACGAGCGCTCTTCACAGAATGTAAAGAGCGCTCTTGCAACTCTTCTTCATCATCATCTTGAGTTTGCTGAAGACCTAGATGCTCATCAATAACCTCTTGTAGAATCTCGTCCTCGCTTGGTGTCCCATCTTGTATATCCCTTTCTTCGTCGCTTGGGTTTAGAAAGTTAGAAATTGCCATAACGTCATGAATATTGCCAGCTCATGTAACTTGTTCATAGAGTTTGTTGATACCTGGAGGAGTAATTGGAATCGGAAGAGCAATCAGAATGCTGACAAGTGTAGATTTTCGAAAACACTTGTAGATTGTTGTATTTGTGACAAAATGATTCCAGCTCTGTAGAATCCATGGGACCGCAAAGTGTAGATTCATCGATTCGAGTGGGTTTCAATCTGAGGTAAAAGCATTAAGCATAAAAGAGAGCCACTGTCGTCGATAATGGCATTTGAATGATTGAATGATGCCTTGATCAAGGGGCTGGAATCGACTAGTACTGTTAGCAGGAAGCCAACAAATACGTATGTTTGTTGGAGGAGGACAAAGCTCAAGAGCAGTGTTATGAGCTGAGAAGTTATCCATTGTAAGAAGAACTTGTCGAGTCGTTCCAATATGTCGATAGAAAGCGTGAAGCCATTCGCTCATAATTGTTGTATTCATCCAAGCCTTCTGGCTCGCACGCCATTGCCCTCCCATTGATGGTATATCGATATTTCGAAGTGCGCGCGGCTGTTTATATTGTCCAATCATCCACACAGGTAGGCGATCAGTTCCAGAAGCATTAACACAAAAGACGAGGCTCATTCGAGTTTTCTCCTTCTTTAATCCTGGAAGCGTTTGTGTTGCAAGCCCTGGAGACGGCATCATCTTCCAGTATAGGCCTGTCTTGTCCATATTATAAACGCCCTCCTCTTGAAATTCACCAGCGATAGTTCGTAGAGCCTTCATTTCCTCCTCTGCTGTTTCTGGACAAGAGCCTTCTTCGCCGTGTTTTGTATGGACCTTGATATGATATCGTGCTTTAAATCGATGGAGCCAGCCAGTTGAGAAGTCTGGGCATTGTAGATTATCGTCGTTCAGTAGTTGTTGCCAAATCTCTCGAGCCTTTTCTTGTAGTATATTACCGCTTGTAAAGCCTCCACGCGATTGAATTCGTTGCTGCCATATAATAAGGAGTCGCTCTACTTCTGGCCACTGCCCAACTTGTAGTCGTGATCCCGTAGGTTGTATAGCTTTGTCTAGATCTTCGAAATGTGAGCTTAAAGACTCAGAAACTGTCGACTGACTGAGTTTATGGCCGTAGTTCTGAGAGAACCATTCGATACATTGCTTTTGAGAAGGCTTCGGGTGTTGTTGACTTGCGTAGAGCCCGGCGTTGCTCAATAGTTATTGAAAATCGTTTCGTCATTTCAAGGTCTGAATAGGAACACCATAGCATGGATAAAGCGATATTCAGGAAGGGAGCTGCGATATCGTGATAATCGGTAATTGTATGGTGGTGTTGTCGGGACCAGGAAAAATATCGCAATAATGAAGTTATCGCTTAATCGATAATCGTTATAACGGTGCTTTACTGTAGTAGGAATTTTGACGCGTTAAAAAGGTACAAACAAGCCTACGCGTACCCATGCTCCAACCTATGCCCAACCCCCGGTCATCCCACGACCCACTCATAAAACTTATGAACAACACCTCCGTACGATTCCGTCTCGATCTCGACCCGGAACGATTGAAAAACATGGAGGAACACGGTGTGATGTTAGAGCGCGGCGATAGTGAAAGCCAGCGAATTATCGCAACGGCACTATTCGACGTTGCTGAGGGAAAAACCCATCCGAGCTCTGGGCCATGCCAGTCGCATCCGCATTCCCCATACCGTGGAGACGGCCCCACAGGTGCCGTGAGACAGAATGCACACTGCATGGATGCGATTACTCGTGTGACGTCGGGACGCTGACGACGTCACGGGGAGGTATAGGGGTCTGAGGGAGAGTACAGCAGCGGGGTAGGGTATGACAAACGCGTGTAGCGGATGTGAGGTCAAATACTTGAGGAAATGAGAGAAGTGTGGTAACGTATTTCACCATCGTACTTCCGACGACTTAACTTTGCTTTGATTTCTATACGACGCTTAATGAAGTTGGTAGTCTAGTTTATCCTAACAGGGCTCTCGCCTCGTTTAGAGAGTAGAAGGTCGGCCATTTCTTGCACAGCTTGCGGCTAGGGTGGAAATCCACGCAAATCTAGGTCGAGAATGTACTGAACGATAGCTGACTCTTCGTACGGACTCAACTTGCATGAGTTGGGAATAGAGTCGCGTCGGGAAGCCAGTCCTTGAATTCGTCAACGTAGTGTTGTTCGAGGGACATCGTACGTTACTGCAGCACTCTTAACATTCTGAATATGTTTTAGCTATCCAGGCTATTAAACAAGGCCATATTCTACCTTCTTGGGAAGAGCTTTGAGCTTGCATTGTTGCGATACTAAGTGTTTATTCTTGGTCTACGCATCTTCGCATTTTCTGTGGCCACTCGCTTGTGAAATACGTTAACTTAACTAGGAGTTTTATCTGCCGTCTGCACGCTAGACAACACGAGGTCAAGGCGGCCGGTGGTGGCAAAGGCGCAAGATGGCGTGCCATATTGCCTAATGCATCCCGTTACCTGCGCTCTTTTCGTGCTGCGTCACTAAGGGCTCGAGAGTTGGGCGTGCCGTGTGCTAGTGAACGCCGGTGCGCGCTAGTCGGTCATAGCGAAGATGTATTAATTGGTGTATTTGATGAGTACATGTCCCGAGGGTGCATGAGGTGTTGTTGATCCGAGAATTGAGTGGCTTACGGATCCTTCGTGGTTTCCTGTAGGGGTCATAGGCCTCGTCAACAGGTAGTATCACATCTCAATTCAACGGTGTCGTATGTCGTCTTCTTCTTTTGTACGACAAATGAGTTTCTCCATGGATTTCGTTCCCCTGAATTCCCCGCATGTTGGTCACTGTCGATATTATCCTAGGGCTGCCTGTGGGCGTGCCTTCTTTCCTCCTTTGGCGGTCTACTTCGAGTAAGGGGCCGCCTCAGCCTCAGGATGGAACCCCACAAACCCCATCCACGAATACAATTCCCAGGTACGCTCTTGGAAATACCCTGCATCATATTAGTAATAGCTCTGTATTATATTAGGTTTAGTGGTTAGCATCAATGAAATCTCTTCACACCCAAAAGCACAGTCTATTATTTTCTTTACCTCATCTCTGGCCCGCTATCACAAAATCAGGGGCCTCAGCCAAAGTGTTACAAGAGGCCCAGAAACCTTCACGCTGGCGCGTCTTTTGTGTCCGTGCATTGATATCCTTATCCGTCTCCATCTTTCCATCTTTCCCCCACTTGGACCCGTCCCCATCCCCTACTAGTGCACCTATTTTTTGCTACATATTGTGCATTATTGTGAATTATTTCCCACTGTTTCTATCACATCTATTGAAACCCCTGAGTGCCCGCAAACGCCTTCATTGGGGAGCTCTTGGTAGGGGGGTCGATCGTGCCTCCACACCATCCATGAGATCTCTTGGCCTGTGAAAGTACCGAGGTCTTAGCTCTCAAATGATGGCCCATCAGCACGTCAGCCCTGTCGCACTTAAATGAAGCCAAGCCCCAGACAGTCTCAGGTATATTTCTTCGTTTGATCCTCTTCTGGTCTCCAACGTCGGTATCGGATTTCCAGCGCCGATAATACAGCACATGGTGCCTGACGACCCGCTATGAGATCTCCTCCGCCAGAAGTCCTGGCGTCGTGGCCGAAGCCGAATTATGTCGACCCGGAACGTAGGGGGAACGAGGGCGTCATCGTGCAGTCCATACTCGTCGTCCTGGTCACAGCAATGGTTATCATACGTCTATATGCGAGGATTGTTATTACGAGGGCTGGCATCGGTTTGGATGATGCCTTGATCATCATTTCTTGGGTCCGTTCATCTCTCCAAGTAGTGCCAGCGCGAGGACTACTCCCAGGCTTTTGTGAAAGACGAAGCTGACGGAATTGAACGTTAACAGGTATTCGCGATGGGCCTGACTGCCGGTGTTCTACTCGCCATTGAACGGTATGGTTGGGATATACATGTTTGGGATCTCCCACCAAAAGATCTGGTTGTCAGCCGGATGGTAAGCCATTACTTGATTTACTATTCACCTGCGATCCTCTTATAATATATTCAATGCACTGTTTTACGCTCACACCAACTTACATTGGATACTATTACAGGTTAGCTGGGCGAGCATGGTCCTATACATCACAACCACGTCTCTTACCAAAACGTCCATCCTCGTCTTCTATCTACGAATTCTTGTCGCCAAGGTCGATAAAATCGTCACCAAAGTCACCATCGTAGTCGTTGTCGTCTACTACATAGCCTCCTTCCTAGCCCTCTTCCTCCAGTGCCGGTATACCGCCCCAACTCTCCAACCACTGCCCCTACTAACTCCATCAGACCCTTCCAGCACTACTGGGAAATCCTCATCCCCACCTCCGTCGGCACCTGCATCGACGAGAGCATACATATGATCACCAGCGCCGTTTTGAACATCATCATAGAGATCGCCATATTACTCATCCCGCTCCGCTCCCTCTTCGCCCTCCGCATCCGCACAACCCAGAAAGTCCACCTCATATCTCTGTTTTCCGTTGGACTGCTCGTCATCGCCGCCGCCAGCGTCCGCCTGGTGTATGTAGTCATCATCATGCAGGAATCATACGACGTATCCTGGTACGGATATTTCGGCTGGCTATGGGCGTCGATCGAGGTACATGTATCCATCATCTGCGCGTGTGTGCCGTCTTGTCGCGCCTTCTTCGTGGCGTGGAACCGATCGTTGAGTAATAGCGGGAGCAAGATGGGGGGGCGGAGTGGCACGTATCCGAGTGGTGCGGCGAGGAGCTATAATAATATTGAGGATGACGTTATGGGGCTTACAGATAGGCGGTTAGGGACTCAGGCGAGGGTGTCGGCGCGGACTAGGAGGAGTGAGAGCGAAGAGGATAGCATGGAGGGGTCGAAGGGGGTTACGATACGGATGGAGGTGATGCAGTATGAGGAGGAATACCGGGAGGGGGTGCGGAAGAGCCGCGCGCAGAACGTGTGTGGCGTAAGAGACGCAGGGCTGGAGTTGGGGATCGAAAATCACGGCGCTGTGCGGGGGCCGTGATAATCAGGAGTAAATAATTTCTTGTTAGGTTCAGCTTGGAGCTTGGGAACGGATGGGTATCTAGGCCTTGGGATAGACGTTAGGTCTTTTATTTATTATGTAGATTAGCGCCCTGTGGCCGTAAAATATAATCGTATTCTCTCCTACACTACAGCTGCACAAACTCTTGAGGCTCAAAGAGGAAGTGCTGATGCGGAGAACTTCAGCCACTCACTCTTGGCTACATTATACATACGAGGGAACTGTTGCACGTAGGTGGCGTAGGACTGCCATATATGCCGGGCGTAGGGCAGACTGATGCCGGGCAAAGCTGGGCGGGCGTAGGATCGGCATCAGCTTAAGCTGGGCGTAAGGATCAGCGCCAGGTCTACTCGTACTTTGGGTCAATAATTGTTAAACGTGCAATGATCGTCTTCCCCCTTGTAGAAGTATAGTCCAATAAAAACCCGAGTAATGTTATGCTGCTTTACCACTCGTACGTACGTGACGCGTTATATAGATTGTTATTCCTCGCAACTTTTTAAAACAGCGACGAGGTGGAACTACGTACATGGGTCCCCTGTTAACAATTATTGACCCAAAGTACGAGTACTATCCCCCCCCTGAATGATTGTCACGCCTTTTTACCTAAACCGATCGCTATAAGTGGGTTTCCCCAAACTTCAAAATTAGCGGGTAGTTACAATCATTCAGGGGGTGGGATAGTACAGCTGGGCGTAGCTTAGGCGAAGCCGGGCGTTTGAGACGGTTTGGGTCGCCCAGCTCAACCAGGCCTCAGGCCTGAGCTAGCTTCAGGAGCCGGTCAACAAAGAAGTTAGTACGTAGGCCCAGTACGGAGGTTATTTTCATAAGTTTTGTGAGTGGGGGGGGCTATAAAAGCCAGGTACGGGGCTGCGCGCAAATCGATGGTGTATCTCGCCTCATATTTTATATGTGATCGATACATGAGTTTATGCTGTTGTGCACAAATTCTGGGGTCCCATACTTGATCCACTCACAAAACTTTTGAACATTACCTCCGTAGATAGATAATTAATTCAATTGCCCTACCTGTGGAAGCCCCTATAGCGATACTTCTGCTCAGTTGCGGAAACCCACCCAAATTGGCTAGGTATCCCCCCACACAGATAATGATACAACACATATTTACCAGCACCCCAGTAACTTAAAGAGAGGCTGAGTTTTTACCGAGCTTCGCATTCGAACTACCCTATTAATCGTTTGACAATCCCTATCAATCGTTTGATAGGCTGCGTCATGGGGGACCCACCCTAGACCGGACCATGGTCTGGTCTGGTCTGAAGCTAACAACTCACGGTCCCCCACCCGCCTCCTAAGAAACCGGTCACATGATAATAATCTTACTATAATATTTACCAAGTTAGTTATAATCTTACTTTATCTTAATTAGGAAGCGAGTTACACTCGGTTATTCTTAGCTCCTCTTAGCTCTCGTGTTTTCGTATTCATAGCAGCTACTCTCATAGCTACTCTCGCTCTTACTCTTACTTTTACTCCAGGATACAGGTCAGGGGGAACGCTAGGATCAACTCAAGATGGATTGCCAAGGCTCGCTTAAACGGCACCTACCACAAAGATGGCCGAAAAGTTGAAGGATACAGTAATACGGAGGTAATGTTCATAAGTTTTGTATGTGGATCCTGAGAAAATTGGGGACTGTACAGGGGAAAGAGCATGGGTACGTGTATGCTTGCAAGTATCTTTTAAACGCGTAAAAATTTTACTACTCCGTATATAAATTTGTATGTAGGAAATATACCTTACCGGCGCGCCACGTATTTGGCGAGGGGTCCGAGGACGGTCCGGGGATCACACCTATTTTCACCGGTCATCCCACGGTCAGTTGGCCCGTGCACCGGTCCGAAGACCGTCCAAAATCCAGGATCAAAGCTTCAACCCATACGGTTGAAGCTTTAATTTCCTATCTACTCTTCTAAAGCTTCAACCCATACGGTTGAAGCTTTAGAGTAGATAGGAAATTGACAGTAGTATGACAGTAAAATTTGCTCACCGTTTGTGATCCTGGGGCCGTTGATGTGATATTGCCGTCGCCGGCCACACTATCGTCATGAGTCCATGACAGCGACTGCCAATACTGACTGGAAGCACTCACTCCTCAGACCTGACACTGTCAGCGTGGAGTGAGGACAGTACTATCAGCGTCCTCAGGGTGAGACCAAGGGTGGGCGTTTCTGGTTTCCTCGAATGGAACCATCGCGGCCGTGGATGAGGCAATGGGCGGTCCTGGGACCAGGAGTTGGAGCGGCGGCAAGGAAGCCACAAGAGTTGAAAGGCACGCCAGCCAAGCAAGAAAGGCAAAGAGGAACTGAAGAATGGCAGACGAAACAGTGAAGGAAATGACAGAGGCGAATGGTGATGGAAACGACAGAGGGAACGGTGGTAGAATCGGTGGTCGAAAACGGCAAAGGAGACCGGTGAAGGAGACCGGATGAGGAGACTGTCATACTGATATCCGTTGCACTCAGTTTGCTATCAAACTCAAGAGCAAACTTAGAAATCTCCTACTATACATATTTTGGCTTGTCACACCAACAACAAGAGCAATACTACTCAACGATTGCTACAACCCTCTATGATTCATTATGTAATGGTGGGTGCACCAGATGTGAGAAGGGATGAATTTACTAAGACAACACACTGTCTTAGGAAACAGAGCCAAAGGGTTGTAGCTTAGACTATTCCACAACGCAGCAATCAGGTGTGTGATGTAGTGAAGTGGTTCAGACAAGTTGCAACAAATGTTGAGTCTGGGAACTCAGGGGTAAGTCAGAGGTTAACACCTCACTGACTTTTCAGAAACAAGGAGTAACAAGATGAATGCTTGGAAGCTTGGAAAAGACGTGGAAGTATGTGATAGTCGATTTACTGTATTGTCTGCTTGCCCTTTCTTAAGGAAAGGGCAATCCTATTTATGCTAAAGGAGTGTAGTTCTCTCATTTTCCAAGACTTTCCATGACTAACCAGGCTTGGTAACTGTAGTCGACGTAAGAGAATCCCATAGAACCATCTCCTAGGTTCCTAGCCTATAGGAAGTGAAAGGAGGTCCAAGGTCAGAGTACCCCTATAGACAAATTATGTCATAACTTAACCAATCTTGTGGGTAACTAAAGAGCGATGACGTGTAATGAATCATAGACAGTTGTAGAAGCTTTTGGAGCTATCGTTCATGTTCCTAGGCCTCTAGTTGATAGAGATATGTCATGTGTAGTATTAGCCCAGTAACTAAGGAGTGATGTCATGTAATGAATCATAGAGGGTTGTAGAGATATGCTATGTGGTAATATCGGCCCAGTAACTAAGGAGCGATGACGTGTAATGAATCATAGATGGTTGTAGCAATCGTTGAGTAGTATTGCTCTTGTTGTTGGTGTGATAAGCCAAAATATGTATAGTGACTTGTAGGTTTGAGGAGGAGATTTCCAAGTTTGCTCTTGAGTTTGATAGCAAACTGAGTGCAACGAATGTCAGTATGACAGATAGTTGCAAAAACTAGTGGATATTGGATAGTTGAGCTATCCACGAACTATCCTGAATATCTAGCTATCTGCCAACTATCCAGATTACCCATGAGGCACGACGCCACTATATAAGTAGATAGTATTTCCTTAGATAGGAGCTTCGTGCTCAAGTAGAAGACACAGAGGTTTCTTGCATAAGGTTGACTTGACAGAGGAGGCAGGGGATTAGACACAAAGGCTTTCCAAGTAACACGTTACAGTATTGTAAAGAATACTAACTATCATTTAGAAGTCAGCGTTACATCTACCTTCATTAAAAACTGAATTGCGCATCATCAAAATAGCTCTCCAACCTCAATCTATGCAGCTGTCGACCAGTTTACAAAGGGTGCATCGCAAATAATGCATCAATTAGCATTGTTAAAGGCAGAGAACCAGAACCTCCGACAGGCAAATGAAGTAATAAGCAAGCGCCGGAGGGCTAAAAAAACACGTCTACAGCAAGGGGGATCACTTAGTCAACAGGATGCGCAGGGTCTACAGGACGAGAGGGATGTTGTGCAGCAAGTAGAGCAGGAAATAAGGGCGAGCAGTGGTCGCAAGCCAAGGGAAGAAATGCGTGCATGCCGCTGTGGGAAGTGTGGAGAGACTGGACACAATGCGCGCACTTGTCAGATTGTAATAGACATGTCTGAGGAAGAGGACTCTGAGTAGTTTCAATTGATTTCTAGTGTCATGGTGGATTTATCGTAATTTTTGTTGCGGGGGTAGATAATTTTGGCCGGTTCGCTATACATGTACGTTAGGTGCTAAAGGTATAATAGCAAGAAATATATCGTTCCTATCAAGGAATCCTACAAACTTGTTGTTCTAAATGAGCTAAAAAGGAAGAGGGACAATGTAGGTGTCATACTGACATTCGTTGCACTCAGTTTGCTATCAAACTCAAGAGCAAACTTGGAAATCTCCTCCTCAAACCTACAAGTCACTATACATATTTTGGCTTATCACACCAACAACAAGAGCAATACTACTCAACGATTGCTACAACCATCTATGATTCATTACACGTCATCGCTCCTTAGTTACTGGGCCGATATTACCACATAGCATATCTCTACAACCCTCTATGATTCATTACATGACATCACTCATACTACCACATGACATATCTCTACCAACTAGAGGCCTAGGAGCATGAACGATAGCTCTAAAAGCTCCTACGAACCTCTATGATTCATTACATGTCATCGCTCTTTAGTTACCCACAAGATTGGTTAAGTTATGACATAATTTGTCTATGACATAATTTGTCTATGACATAATTTGTCTATAGGGGTACTCTGACCTTGGACCTCCTTTTACTTCCTATAGGCTACGAACCTAAGAGATGGTTCTATGGGATTCTCTTACGTCGACTACAGTTACCAAGCCTGGTAAGTCATGGAAAGTCTTGGAAAATGAGAGAACTACATTCCTTTAGCATAAATAGGATTGCCCTTTCCTTAAGAAAGGGCAAGCAGACAATACAGTAAATCGACTATCACATACTTCCACGTCTTTTCCAAGCTTCCAAGCATTGATCTTGTTACTCCTTGTTTCTGAAAAGTCAGTGAGGTGTTAACCTCTGACTTATCCCTGAGTTCCCAGACTCAACATTTGTTGCAACTTGTCTGAACCACTTCACTACATCACACACCTAATTGCTGCGTTGTGGAATAGTCTAAGCTAC